AGCAGCCCCTTTTGGCCGAGTGACGTCCTAGCAGACCCCCCCCCCCCACCCGCCCGGCGCCCTTGCAGTGGGAGCAGGCCCGCACCGAGGACGGCGGGCTCCAGCTCTTCGCGACCAACGAGGACTTCCTCGAGCTCAAGCAGGCGGTGGCCGACCTGGCGGCGGCCAAGGAGGAGGAGACGTCGCATGCGGGCGGCGGCGCGACCTCCGACGACCCCGTCGACTCGTTCCTGGCGATGGCGGGCACCTTCCTCGCTGCGGCCGAGCAGCAGTGGGCGGAGCCGCCGCCGCCCACGCCTGAGGTTGACACTCCCCCGCTCCTTCCCTCCACGCAGCCTCCCCAAGCTCTCACCCCGCAACGGACGGCAGGGAGATCTGACCGCTCCCTTGTTTCCCGGTGCCTCTCAGGCCGGCGTTACCTCGCTGGAGGTGCCCGAGCCGCTGGTGGAGCCCATCGAGGGACAGGAGCAGCTCGAGGTCACCACGCCGCCGCACCCCGCCACGCTGCCGCCGCCGATCGGGCTGACGGTGCGGCCGCCACCCGTCGAGGCGGGCGGCCAGGTGAGCGTTAGAACCCCCCCCCCCCCCCCCCCGCCCCGCCCTGCCTCTGCGACATCAATCATGATGATGTTGTGTTTCTCAGGTCGACGCCTCGCCGCTGCCGCTCTCGCCACCCTCCAACAAGAAGCGCGGCGTCCTCGGCCAGCTCTCGGCCAACCTCTCCCGCGTCTTCTCGCCGCGCCGCAAGCCGGCGACGCCCGACGCCGACGCCGACGCGCAGGCAACCGTTGATTGGCCCCTTGCCCCTTCCCCTCTCCCACTTGAGATCCCGCCTGTCCCATCGCAGGTGGCCGCCTCGGCCGCCGTCTCCACGCCGCCACCGCAGCCGCCGCGCGGCATCAACCCCCCCGACACGGGTGAGCGCGACCTCGCCCTCATGGGCTTCGAGTGAGTGGCGCCGCCGCCGCCGGGGTCGCATGTACTGGTCGGCGCGTGGCGCCTCCGCTCCTCGTGGGACGCCCTCGAGCGAGCCCCCACGCCACCCCCCCCCCCCGGCGCTCCTCCCCCCCCGCGCTCCTGCACTGTCGCGCCCTCCCGCTAGCGCCATCTCTTCTGTCGCGCCCTCTGGGCGCTTGATGTACCGTCGCGCCTCCGGTGTCTGCTTGTCTCGTCTGACGTCTGAGGACTGCGCGAGGCGCTGTGTGCCTCGCTGCTCTCTCGTCTCTCTCTGGGAACTATGCTGCTTTCTCTCTGCACTCTGGGACCCCGCCGCGCAGAGCACTGTGTACTGTCGTGCTCTGTGGAGTGGACTCTCTCGCTGTGGCGTCTGTCGCGTCCACCTGCGGTCCGAACTCGCCGGCTTCGATAGATCTTCTCCGTTTCTCAACGAAAACTCTTGGCAGCCGCCATTAGGTAAAAGAAAAAACTTCGCCGGCGTGGACCGTCGTCGCGCTGGCCGTCGTCCCGGCATATAACAATCATCCCGCCTCGAGAGCCCCGATCGCCTCCCTCACCGCGGCCACGAGCCGCGACGCCTCCCCCTCGCTGCGCGGCCCGTCCCTCCGCCACCTCGCCGCGTCGTGGTGCCGCGCCGCGTTCGCCCAGATGCGCAGCGAGTGCAGCTGGCTCCGCAGCTCGGTCGGTAGGCCGCACTCGCGGTGCCAAAAGTTGATGCGCTCCTCGAAGCCGTCGGGCGCCGCCGCGGAGCGCGCGGCGTAAACGGAATCGAGGCGCGGCATCAGCGTTTTGAAGGCGAGCAGCATGTTGTCCTGGATGCGCGCCTGCGCGTCGCCGCCCGTGCGCATGCCGCGCACCTGCACCGAGAGCGGCGAAGGCTCGTAGCCGGTGGTGCGGGCGGCTGCCGCAGCGGCCTCGTCTCCAAAGGCCGGCGCAGCCTCCTCCACCCCCGCCCCGCCCTGTGCGCTAGACAGCAGCGCCCGGAGAGCTAGCAGTGCCTCGGGCAGCGTGGGCCGCTTGCGCAGGCTGTCGTGGCAGAGGCTCTTATGCCCGTCTCCCGCCTTCGCGAGGTCCTTGACAGCGCGCGCCGCGTCGGCTGGCCAACCCGCGGCCACGTCGGCGATCTTCGTCACGTCGATGTCGGTCCAGTCCTCCTCAAACTCGTCCTCGCACCGGTCGGTGAGCTGCACCTCGGACCGGTTGGTGAGGCAGACAAGGAGGGTGACACCGACCGCGTAGCCGTCCGTCTTGCTCGAGTACTCGCCTCCCTTGGTGATGGAGGGGCAGAGGTAGCCCGTGGTCATATAGAGGGCAGTCGAGCGGCAGCGGACAGACGCGTCGGGACGCTGGTCCTTGGCGAAGCCCGTGTCGGCGAGCACGGCGGCCAGCTTCTCGTCGAGCAGGATGTTGTCTGGCTTGACGTCGCGGTGCACGATGCCCTTCGAGTGGAGGTAGACGAGCGCCTCGGTCGCCTCGCACGCGACACGCACGCGCTGCCGCCACGTCAGCGGCCTCGGCGGCTCCGCCATGCCCAGCCGCCGGAGCTGCGCCGCGCAGTCGGGATCCGAGATGCGCAGCCGCGCCTCGAGCGAGCCGCCGCGCATCAGCGGCGAGAGGAGGCAGACGCCGTCGGGCGAGAGGCAGTAGCCGAGCAGCGGCAGCAGGTGCGGGTGGCTCACCGCCTTGAGCTCGAGCTCCGCCCGCAACAGCCCTCCCGACTGGCCCGACTTTGCCCGCTTGACGACGAGCGGCAAGTGGCGCAGCTGTGGTGGCGCGGAGAGGGAGAGGTGGAGGTCGGCCGACGCCTCGTAGACACGGCTAAATCCGCCGATGCCAATCAGCTTCCTGTCGGCGAACCCATCGGTCGCCGCGGTGAGGTCCGACAAGGCTATCTCGACGGGCCGAGCAACCGCCTCTCTGGACGCCTTGGAGGCGACAGACAGCTCTGCCAGCCGCGACTCTGCCGCGCTCATCTCCCCGTCCAAGGCAGGCAGCACTCCCACGTGCGGCCTGGCGGCGGCAATGCCCGCTCGGAGCGCGGAGGGGCTGTCCGCTGTGTCGAGCGACTTGAGCGCGCCCATCGCCGCGCCATGCGCCTTGCGCAGCCGCTGGCTCTCACGCTTCCGCGCCTCCTTGAGCTTGTCGCGCGCGCGCCTCGCCGCCGCCAGCACGGCCGGGCTCGCGAGGCCGCTGCACGCCTCCAGCGCGCTCGCTAGTCCCTCGTACGAGCCAGCGGCCACTGCCTGCTGCAGCGCCTCGTCCGCCGCGGCGATGGCGGCTGCGTCGGCGGGTGGGGGTGGCGAGGCTGGCGGCGGGGCTGGCGGCGGCGAGGCGGCGATGGCGCCGGGGCAAAGAGCCGAGACGACGGCCTCTTCTTCTTCTTCTTGCCCTTCTTGCTCTCCTTGCGCTCCTCCGCCTCCTTCTCCGCCTCCTCCTCCGCCAGCAGCGCCTCGGCATGCCGCGCCGCCTCCGCCTCCGCCGCCGCCCTCTCCGCCTTCCTCGCCGCCTCCGCCTCCGCCTCAGCCGCCGCCGCATGCTCCTCGAGGGCGCGCACGCACTCGGCGTTGCCCTTCTCCTTGGCCCACTGCAGCGCCGGCAGGCCGCCCTCAGAGCGCAGCTTTGCATCCGCGCCAGCCCGCAGCAGGCAGAGCACGACGGTGGGGTGGCCTTTCCTGGCGGCGAGCATCAGCGCGGTGAAGCCGAGGCTGTCCAGCAAGTTGATCTCCGCGCCGCGCCGCAGCAGCAGCTCGACCACCCGCTCGTGGCCCTCCTGGGCGGCGATCATCAGCGCGGTGCTGCCGTTGCTGTTCTTCAAGTTGAGCTCCGCGCCGTGCCGAATTAGCAAGTCGACCACCCGCTCGTGGCCTCCGTGGGCGGCGAGGATCAGCGCGGTGCCGCCTTCGCTGCTCTGCAGGTCGATCTCCGCGCCGTGCCGTATCAGCAGCTCGATCACCCGCTCGTGGCCGTTGTTGGCGGCGATCATCAGCGCGGTGAGGCCTTTGCTGCTCTGCTTGTTGACCTCTGCGCCGCGCTCCAGCAGCAGCTCGACAACCCGCTCGTGGCCCTCCTGGGCGGCAAACATCAGCGCGGTGCCGCTCGTATCGCCCGCCTCGCAAGTCGCGTTGACCTGCCCGCCGCTGTCGAGCCACGACAGCAGCGCCGCCTCGTCGCCATCTACAACCGCTATCGCCGCCTCTGCGGGAAGGCTGCCCAGTGAGCTGGACAGCCGTACCATGTGCACATTCAGGGTTCCGGCTCTCTGTGGGTGCGGGGGGCGACGCGGCTAGGTGCTACCTTACCTAACCTGCGTACAATTTCAACCTCTCCTCTAACTTCCGTCACCGCGATCAACAGCAGGAAGGGTCGGGGGGACAAGCTGAGAGTCGGGGAAGAGCCGGGCGCCGCTCAGTCCATAGCTTGGATTTCTTTTTTGATGGGCTTGCTGCTCGCTGCGAGGGCGAAGAACGCGTCTCGTCACACGCCAAGGGCTTATGCTCTGCCGAGACGTGACTCGTGAGGCGCTTGCGCCCCGCTGCTGCAGCTCGCTCAGGGCCCGCGCGCTTGACGCGCGCGCTCTTCTCCAATGCGGCGGGGGAGCCCACGCACTCCGCCCTCTGCCGCCTGCTGAAGGGCATCCTAACTTTCCTCTACAGCGAGGCGGAGGGGGACGGCGACGCGCAAGCTCGCGCCTGACCACTGGCACTGCCGCCGCGTTGCCGATTATATGGCTCCCGGGTGTGGGTCGACGACGTCAATACAGAGACCTCTTCCAAGTGGCGGCCGACGCCTCCCTCCTTACGGAGTCGACCACCTCCCCGCCGCCGCCCTTCTGGCGTCTCCGCCACCCTCGCCGCCGCCGCTGCCGTCGGACGAAGCGCCCTTCCCCGGCGGCGTCAGCGAGAGCTTCCCAAACAGGCGCCAGGTCATGTACATGGAGCTCTGATGGACGGCCCTGACTATCCCTGACACACAGAGAGTCACTCTGACGGCACACAACACCCTATTATAACTGCGTCATGACCAGCCTGCCCATGCGCCTCGCCATATTTATATCGCTGTGAGAGAAAAAAACGCCGAGCCCTGCTGGGCGTGCGGACTGCGGTTACTGACTGCACTCCAAGTGCTCCAAGTCCGCTTAGACTCCCAAGCCGCGAGGAAAAGAAAAGACGGCACTTGAAAGGTAAGGAAAAAGAAGAAACACGCACCTCCCCCACCCCCGAGGCGCCCTCCTCGAGCGGACCCCACCAGGAGCGGCCGCACATTGCTCGCTACCCCCCCTGCACATTCTAAGTCATGGCCGACCCCCCCCCCAGCAGCAGCGCTCTGCTGCTTAGGGGGTCGGGACCCCCCCCCCCGCCGCCGGCGCTCTGCTGGCTTGGGGGGGTCGGGACCCCCCCCCCTAGCAGCAGGGATGACTTTAGATGTGCAGGGGGGGTAGCGAGCAATGTGCGGCCGCTCCAGAAGCGAATGCCGCTCACGCCGGGTGAGTATAGAGCACGAGCGGCGCGGCGTCGGGGTCGACGAGCGCGCCGGGCATGCTGCTGCGCCAGCCCGTGAGTCTCGCGCCCTGCAGCGGCCACGGGTCGTGCGTGATGCGGCCCACCCACAGGCCGGCCTCCCGCGGCATCACGGTGGAGCGGAGCAGCAGCCCCGCCTCGTACCGCTCGACCAGGAGCCAGGGGCTCTGCCGGTTGGGCAGGGTCGTCGCAGATACCTCACTCGAGTGTTTCGAGTATCGTCTAGATCGAGAAGAGTTCACTCTCCGCCGCGCGCCTCGATCTTCTTGGGCAGCAGCTGATTCGACAGGCTGGCAGAGCTGTCTGTCGCCTCCGAGAAGGCCGCGGCGGAAGAAGCGGCTGTTGCTCGGCCCGTCGAGATAGCCTTGTCGGACCCCTCACCGCGGCGACCGATGGGTTCGCCGACGGGAAGCTGATTGGCAGCGGCGGATTTAGCCGCGTCTACGAGGCGTCGGCCGACCTCCACCTCTCCCTCTCCGCGCCGCCACAGCTGCACCACTTGCCGCTCGTTGTCAAGCGGGCAAAGTCGGGCCAGTCGGGAGGGGCACTGGCCACGGCCTCGCCGACCACTAGAAGGCGGCCCACCCACTACGCGCACTAACTTAGTGGGCGAGGTGGCGGGAGGCACTCACCCACACTAGCCCGCTCGCCGGCGGCCCACCCACTACGCGCACTAAGTTAGTGCGCGTAGTAGCCGAGCTCGCCTCCGTCCGAGAGTGTGGGAGTCGTGATTTCTCTTCCGTCCGCCGGCGAAGGGCACTACGAGCGGCCCGCCGGACCACTCTCCTCGCTAGGGGGCCCACAGCGCCCCAAAATGCACCACTGTGGGATTTCGCGCAATCGCTTGACTCTGAAAAGCTCGCCACCTGGGGGGTCGACGGGCCCCCGGGGGCGACGGGGGTGCTCTCCGGCCGCGGCGGCCGAAAACGGTGGGTTATATTACGGTAATATTAACGAAGTGATGCACTTGATGCAAGGGTGCCATTGTGCTCTACTACGTACAAAAAAAGTTGTGTAAGATGCCCAAGTCTCAGACACTGAATCCTAGCGGAGCTGAGTTCTGCCGGTGTGAACACGAGCGCAACCGGAGTGACGAGACCGCGGGACCGGGCCGCACGCCAGGAGTGCCCCGACTAGCAGTGACGGGCGCGGACGAGCGAATGAGAGGTCGCTATCTCTGTGGGAGATGTGTTATTACCGTCTGTGGCGAAGTGGGTCGCGTCCCCCGATTTCCTCAACTCACGGTCCCGCGCTCCCTCTATCAGAGACTCTAGGACTGCCCACACCTATCTGCTATCTCTCACTGAAAGGAACCTCTCATTCGCTCGTCCGCACCCCCACCCGTCACCGCTCACGGAGTGCTCCGCGTGCCGCTCCGGCCGCCGCCGGCCGCCGGCCGCTCATTTTGTGACTCCTCCCTCGGGCTGCTCAATCTCCTCCCATAAACACACCAATCACAGCCCGCGGCCTTGACAGGACTACGAGGAGATGCCAGGCGACCCGATCGTAAATCTCTTCCGTCTCGAGACTCGACGTCGCCTCGCACCACCCTCGGATACGTTCGCGGGTGGCGACGAGGCGCGTGGGCGACGCGGCAACACAGAGCCTCGCACCCGTTCGCCCTTTTCATCACTGCCCCGGAGCCCACGCCTCGACCTTCTTGGGGAGCAGCTGGTTCGACAGGTCCTCTCCGTGGCCTAGGGAGCTGTCCTTGCCCTCGCCCCAGGCAAAGACGGTGCCGTCGGCGGTGAGGGCGAGGCTGTGGGATGGCCCAGCCGACACAGCGACGACGCGCTGGCCGGCAAAGGCCTCGACCTTCTTCGGCAGCAGCTGGTCCTGCTCGTCGCCGTGGCCCAGCCGGCCGTGGCGTCCATCGCCCCAGCTCCAGACGCCGCCGTCGGCGGTGAGGGCGATGCTGTGGAATGCTCCAGCCGACACAGCGACGACGCGCTGCCCGGTAAAGGCCTCGATCTTCTTTGGCAGCAGCTGGGTCTGCTGGTCGCCGTGGCCCAGCCGGCCTTGCCCTCCAGAGCCCCAGCTCCAGATGGCGCCACCGGCGGAGAGAGCGAGGTTATGGAACGTTCCAGCCGCGACAGCGACGACACGCTGGCCAGCAAGGGCCTGGACCTTCTTGGGCTGCCGCTGGTTCGACGGGCCTGGCTGGCCATAGAGACCATAGCCCCAGCTCCAGACACTGCCGTTGGCGGCGAGGGCGAGGCTGTGGTGGGGCCCAGCCGACACAGCGATGACGCGCTGGCCAGCCAAGGCCTCCACCTTCTTCGGCAGCAGCTGGTGCTGCTCGTCGCCGTGGCCCAGCTTGCCGTACAGTCCATTGCCCCAGCTCCAAACGGCACCGTCAGCGGCGAAGGCGAGGGTATGCGAGAATCCGGCCGAGACAGCGAAGACGTGCTGGTCAGCCAAGGTCTCGATCTTCTTCGGCTGCCACTGCTTCTGCTCGTCGCCGTGGCCCAGCTTGCCATCCCTCCCATAGCCCCAGTTCCATACACTGCCGTCGGTGGTCAGGGCGAGGCTGTGCGCAGCTCCCGCCGTCACACTCATGGCGCGCTCACCACCCAGCGGGGAAGAAGGTAGGCGGGTCGGCGAGTTCAGCTGCGTCACGCCCTCGCCGTGGCCGAGTAGTCCTGGATATAAGAGCGTCTTGCCGCACGACGAGAGCCGCCCCTCGCCGTCGATGAAGAGGCTGTGGAAGCAGCCTGCCGCCGCCCTCACCGGCGGGTTGGACTCGCACAGCAACGCAGCGAAGCACAGCCACCGCACGGCGCAGCTCTCGCCCTCTGGCTGCGCCGGCAGCTCGAAGCCGCGCTCTCGCGCCCACAAGCGGATGCCCTCCAGCGCGAGCGAGGCGTGGAAGAGCAGCGAGACGGCCGCGACGCGAGCGATGTCGGCGGGGTCGCAGCGAGAGAGGACGCGCACGAGGAGGTCCGTGGGGAGGTCGAGGAGGCGGGCGGGCGGCGGCGTGTCTGGCGAGCGAGCGGCGGTGGCGGCGGCGGCGAGGCGGCGCGAGCGGCGGCGCGGCGGTTTGGACACACCCATTGCAAGACCTTGTTTCTTTTTCAGCCGTCGTAGTCGTCGTAGACGCAGGGCCGGGCATCCGCTGTGGGTTCGCCCTCCCTGGGGGTAGGGGTTCCCTGGAGCGGCGCCGCGGGCTGTGGCGTCGTCCCGGCAGACGATACACACACAGGTAATGGCTCCCTCCGCGGCCCGCGTGCTGCAGGACAAGTACGACGCGCTCAACCGGTCGTTCAGCTCTGTGATGGTAGAGCTCACCGAGCGCTCCGCAGAGGTCGAGCGCTGGAAGCGGACGGCGGAGGCGGAGGCGTCCAATGCGAAAAAGGCAGAGGCGGAGGCCGCGTCGGCAGAGGAGGCCGCGGCGGCGGCCACCGAGGCGGCCGAGGCGCGCCATGCGCGCGACGCCGCCGAGATGAGCCAGCTCGTCGGCCAGCTCGGCCGGCAGTGGGCGAGCAAGCGGATGCAGTTTGACGCGGCGGTGCGCGAGGCGGCGCGCGAGGCGGCCGAGGCGGCGCGCGAGGAGATCGAGGCCCACCATGCGAGCAACGGCGGCGGGCCGGTGGCGACGGCGGTGGCGACGGCGGCCGCAGAGCGTGCCCGCGCCGACGCCGCGGAGGAGCGAGCCGCCGCGGCGCAGGCCGAGGCGGCGGCGCTGCAGTCCGAGCTGCAGGAGGCGTCGCGGCGGGCGGAGGAGGAGGCGGCGAGCCGGCGGGCGCGGCAGGCGGAGGAGGAGGCGACGGCGGCGGAGGCGCGGCGCGACACTGAGGCGGCGGCGGCGACGGCCAGGCGGGAGGCGGCGGAGGCGGCGGCTGCGGCGGCCGAGAGCCGTTCTCAGGTGTCTCAGCTGGCAGAGGCGGCGCGGGTGCAGGCCGAGGAGAAGGAGGCGCTCGCGCGGCGGCTGGCGGAGGCGGAGGCGCGAGACGCGGCCGGCCCCGTCCTCCCCTCCACCCCGCCCTCCCCCCACCCGGCCCCGGCCTCCGCGCGTGCAGGCGGCGTCCCAACAGGCTGCCGCGGCGCTCGGCGGCGACGCGTCCCGCGCAGCGGCAGCTGAGGCGGCGGCGGCGGAGGCGGCGGCGGCGGCGGCGGCGGTGCGTTAGGGAGAGAGATAGAGAGATAGAGAGATAGAGAGATAGAGAGATAGAGAGATAGAGAGATAGAGAGATAGAGAGATGAGAGATAGATAGAGAGAAGAGCGATGGAGAGGTGGAGGGGAGGGAGAGAGGGAGAGGGAGAGAGGGAGAGAGGGAGAGGGAGGGAGGGAGAGGCGCGGGGCGGGGAGTGTCCCGGTGTACCGTCAAGGTGGGGAGAGAGCGGCCGCCTCTCGCACCCAACAGCGAGGCCGAGCGTGTGTAGGCGAAGCGCGAGGTGGACGAGGCGCGCTCGAGCGCGGCCGCCGCGCGCGCCGAGGCGGCAGAGGCGACGCGGCAGCAGTCGGTCGCAGAGGCGGCGGCGGCGGCGGCCGGCGAGCGAGAGACGGCCCTCGCCGCCCGCCTGATTGCGGCGGAGGCGGAGGCGGCGCAGGCGGTGGCGGCGGGAGAGGCGGCGAGGCGCGAGGCGGCGGAGGCGAGGGCGGCGGCCGCGGAGGCGGAGGCGTTGGCGGCGGAGGCGGCGGCGGCGGCCGCACGCCCGCCGCCGCCGCCGCCATCGTCGCCCCCTCCCGCGGCGGCGACGGAAGCTGGCTCAGGGGAGGGGACCCCCGCGACGGGGGTGGCGGCGGGTACCCCTCGCAGCGGGTCGGGGTCAACTCCGGTTTGGCTGCGCAGGGCGGCGTCGGAGCTTCCGATGACGTCTGAGCCGGAGGCGGAGGCGGAGGCGCGGCTGGCCGAGGCGGAGCGGGCGCGGGGCGAGGCGGAGGCCGACCGGGCTGCGGCGGCGGCGGAGCGCGCCGCGGCGGCGGAGGCCTTGCGGGAGGCGGAGGCGGCGAGGGCAGAGGCGGCGGCGGCGAGGGCAGAGGCGGCGGCGAGGGGGGCGGCAGGCTCGGCGTCGGCGGCGGCAGAGGCGGTGGCGGAGGCGGCTGTCGAGGAGCTCGCCCGTGTCAAGGTGCAGCTGGGGCACGTCGACGATGCGCGAGCGGCGGCGGAGGCCGCCGCGGCGCGCGCGCAGGAGGAGCGGGAGGTTGCCATCCAGTCGCTTGTCGCCGCAGAGGCGCAGGCGGCCGAGGCGGGCGCGGCGGCGGCGGCGGCGGAGGCGGCAGCCGCAGCGGCCGAGGCGGCGCGGGGGAAGGGGGGAGGGTTGGAGGGGGTCGGCGGCTTGCTCAAGAAGCTGGGCGGCAAGGTGCGTCCCTCACCGCCCCATCGCCCGCTGCTCGCCCCTCCCCCCTCCGCTCCCCGGCGACTCTCTTGCGCCGCTGCAGGCGGACGAGCGGGACGGGCAGCGCGAGGAGGAGCGCGAGGCGGAGGTCGCCGCCCTCAAGGCGCAGCGGCTGCAGGCGGTGGTGGAGGCGCAGCGTCTGAAGGACGAGCTCGAGAGCGCGCGGGCCTTGCAGACTCCCGACGCCGCCGAGATGCAGCAGCTGGCGCGGCTGCCCTCCTTCGGCCCGGGAAATGAGCACCGTGTCACCTCACCGACGCATTCGCCCGCCCCGCAGGTGTCGCAGCTGGCGGAGGCGCGGCACGAGCGGGAGGCGACCAAGGAGAGGCTCGCACGCGCCGAGGCGGAGATGGACGAGTTGCGCGTGCGCGAGGCCGGCCTCAAGGCGGACCTGCTCGCGCTGCAAGACGACCGGAGCACTTCGATGGCGCCGTCGGCACAGCCGCCGCCGGGCGGCTCGGCCGAGCAGGCAAAGCGTGGGCTGGGCGGATTTGGCTCCAAGTTTGCCCAACTCAAGTCGCAGGCGGAGGCGAAGCTGAAGGAGGCGCAGCAGAAGAAGTGAGCTCTGCCCTGGTCTCCGAGCCCGAGCGTCTGTATGTTGTACAATGGTGCACTCTCTTTGTCGTGGTGATTTTCAGACCTGGAAAAGAAAAATCTTATACCAAGACCAGGGCGCAGGGGTGAGGGGGCGGATTGAAGGTCCCTCACACCAAGATCGACGTGCAGCTGCAGGGCGAGACACACATGTCCATAAAATTATTTCGTTACTCTTACGAAAGCCCCCAAATTACACCCGCATCGGCCACTCTTATAACGACACAATGCGACGAACGGATCCGACCCGACCCGTCAAACGACACGGCCCCCATTACACCCGCACCGGCCCACCAGGTGGCACGGCGCGACGAACGGATCCGGCCCGATGCACCTCTCCCCCATCCCTATCATGCGCCAGAGGCACGCGCGCCTCTGCCTGGACCCCTATGGAGAGAGAGCCTCCCCCGGGGTAGGTTTGTGGCTGAGGGTTCGTCCGGGGTTCGACCCCAGATGGCGCGCGATTACATCCAGCAGAAACAACAGCAGAGGAGGACATCGCCCAGGACATCGGCACCCGCCTGCAAAACATTAAGGCAAGAGTGAGAAAAGGGGGTGGGGCGGAGTGCAAGGACGGCATGCCGCTTCACTCACATCGGCCGTAACCTCGATTGCGGCATCCTCTGCAGCGTCAATCGACGCGTCGGCAGCAACCTCGGCGGTCTCTTCTGCGGCTTCCTCTGTCGCCTCCTCAGCCGCCTCGTCTGCGGCCTCCTCTTGAAGAGCCTCTTGTTCCTCCTGCTCCTCCTCGCTGAGCTCTTCCTGCTCCTCCTCCTCCTCCTCCTTCCTCTCATCCTCGCGCTCCTCCTCCTTCTTTTCCTCCTTCTCCTCCGCCTCCTCCTCTGCTTCCTCACACGTGAAACTCTCGGTTCGGATCGCGGTTGGCGCGCGCCCTCGCGGAGCGACGCGTGGCGCGCGACGCGCGCGCGTGCGCGTGCGCGCCCAGCCGAGCCCTAGGCCGTATGCCGTCTGCCGTCTGCCGTCTGCCGTCTGCCGTCTGCCGTCGGCCGTCGGCCGTCGGCCGCCGCCGCCGCCGTAGCGGCGGCGAGCGCTCGCCTTTTGGCTTTTGCGCGACGCGCAGTGTGGACGCGCGCCGCCCAGCGCCGGACGTGCCGGAGCCGGTCCGGCGCGCGCGCGGGCGGCCAGCGCCTGTAAACAGACAGCTGCCGCCCACACGTTCAAATACTGTCCCGTTTTCCGAGCCAGTCTGCTGTGAGTACAAAAATTCTTTTGCTTGTGGCTGGTTGATCGGAGAGGGAGGCCGACGAGCGCAGCGACCCTGTGACCCTGTGTGCCTTTAACAGCCATGACGTCGATGAGGCCGTCGTCCAACGACCGCCTCAGCCAGGACGCCCTCCCGCTCGCCTCGCCCTCGGGCGGCAAGGCGTCCGTCGCCTCGTGCATCATCAATCTCGCCTCGACTTGCATGGGCACGGGCATCCTCGCGCTGCCGTCGGCGTACCACCTGGGCGGCTTTGCCTCCGGCACGCTGCTCTGCATCGCTTCCGCCGGCCTCTGCTCCCTCAGCCTGAAACTCCTCCTCAGCAGCGGAGAGAAGGTCAAGGCGCCCGCGACGTTTGCGACGGTGTGCGAGGCGGCGCTGCCAAACTCGGGGCTGCTGATCGACTTTGCCGTCATCATCAACTGCGTGGGGTGCGCCGCCTCGTACCTCATCGTCGCCGCCGACTGCTTCTCCGCGCTGGGCTTCCCGCGCAAGACGTGCGTCCTCGTCGCCATCCTCGCCGTCTCGCCCGCGTCGCTCTTCCGCAACCTCGACACCCTCAAGGCGTCGTCGTCGGTGGCGATCTGCTGCCTCATCGGGATCGTGCTGATGGTGGTCGTGATGGGGGTCGTCCCCACCGGCTCCGCCTTCGACCCGTGCCCCGGCGTCTCGGCCAAGGTCGGCCCTCACGGCCACTGCGGAGGCCCCGTCACCTGGGGCTCGACGGTGTGCCGCTCTAGATGTGTGTGTGTGTGTGTGTGTGCAGATTGCGGGAGTCCAGCTGGCACCCGAGACGACACGGGCTCGACTGTGCTCAAGCAGCACCAGCCCTTGCACTGCCGCGACGCGGCCTGCGCACACGGCACAAAGGCGGCCGGCCCCGACTCTCTGGCGCATCCTTGCGCCAGGGGCGGACGCGCGTCTAGCCGAGATATCGCCGAGATCAGCCGAGCTCGCCCGAGGTCAGCGGGGACCAGCCGAGCTGCCTGCGCTAGGCGCCGATGCGCGTCTTCTGCACGCTCCCGCTCTTCGTCAACGCGTACACGTGCCAGCAGAACGTGTACAATGCCGTCGGCGAGCTCGCCAACCCGACAGCCGCGCGGAAGGCGCAGGTGTGGCCTACGGCTCGCCGCTGCTGCCGAGAGGGCCCGAGAGGATGTCGAGATGACGTCGAGACGGCCCGAGCCGCAGGTGGTCTACGGCTCGCCGCTGCTGCCGTTGCTGCTCTACCTCGTGATCGCCTCGTGCGGCTACTTGACCTTTGGCGACAACGTCCCTTCGCACATCGCCAGCGCCTCGTCGTCGACGTGCCGCTACTCTTGCTGACTCGCCGCCTCCTGCGCGGTATAGGTCACCTCAAACATCATCAACGCCTACCCGGTCACGCCGTACGTCTCTGCGGCGCGCACCGTGCTTGGCATCGTCGTGCTGTGCAACTACCCGCTGCAGATGTTCCCGACGCGAGTGTAGCCGAGATACAGCCGAGTTCGCCCGAGGTCACTATAGATCCACCCGAGGTCACCCGAGGTCGTACGAGATCGCCAGAGATCGCCAGAGATCACCCGAGGTCGCCCGAGATCACCCGAGATCACCCGAGATCACCCGAGGCGGGTCGAGGGAGGTAGGCGCGTGTCGATGCTCTCCATCTACGAGCTCCTCGTGCCGCCCACCGACCCCGAGGCACTCCGCCTCTCCCAGCCCTACTTTGAGTACGAGCACCGCGAGTCGCAGGCCCACCGCAAAGGCGTCGGCCGTGGCTCCCTCTTCCTGCAGTCGCACCGCGAGATCGGCACCGCGGCCTAGATGCGGAGTATAGTACAGCTGTGTGCCAACCGGCACTCGAGAGGACACGGACTCGGCTGTGTTGCGGTGTGTTTGGCTGGATTCGGCTGGATCCGGCTTTATCCAGCTTTCTCCGGCTGGATCCGGCTGGATTCGGCTTCATCCACTGCAGTCGGAGCCCCTTACTCACGCGGTGCTCTGAACACACGGCACGAGACCGTCTTCGCGCCCTGACACGGGTGCACTCCCGCTGCAGGCATCACGGTCGGCGTGCTCTTCCTCACCGGCTTCACCGCCTTCAGCGTGACCGACCTGGGCGCGATCGTGTCGCTGGTCGGCTCGACCGGCGCCACCATGATCGCCCTCATCGCCCCGGCGGCGGCGCATTTGCTGCTCACCCGCTCCGAGCCGTGGGACGGCGTCAAGTACGCCGCCGCCGGCATGCTCATCCTCGGCCTGCTGATCCTCCCCTCCAAGCTCTTTTGCGAGTGAGCGGGCCCCGGGCAGGGCCGCGCGCCGTGCCAGGTGCCATCTCAGGCGCCAGCACCGGGCGGCGGCGGCGCTCTGAGTGTGCAAGCGCGGCGCGCGAAACAACCACAGGTTTTGTGCCGCAGGTAGCTCGGTTGACACGCAGTTTTGCTTCGTGGCGAGTGTATCGGCCGAGTGAGGTGTCAGGGCGAGACGTGAGTTGTGTGTGTGTGTGTGTGCTCGCACAGTGCGCGGCGTGGGGCGTGGGCCGTGGCGAGAGAGCGATTCGATTGTTCAATAGCGCGAGCGGGGCCGCGGGGGGGGGGGGGGGGGTGTTGAAACTTGTCATGTGTACTTGTAACTTGCTCGACACACCCGGGTCCTTTTTGGAGAACTGCGCGGTCTCTCATCGCCTCATCGGTGCCTTCCGCTCCCCTTGCCCGGGGGCATCCTGCCGCCCGACCCCCCCGCCGGCACGGGCATGCCAGCAGCTCCGCGGCCGGCGGACCCGCCGCCACGGCCCCGACCGCCCCGACCGCCTCCCCTGCCGCCTGGGCTGCCTCCCCTGCCGGCCGGGCTCCCGCCCTTGTGGTGCGCCCGCCCGCCGCCGCTGCCGCCGCCCTTCCTCCCTTGCGAGGCGGGGGAGCCCTTGCCTCTCCCCTGCGGCGAAGGCGAGCCCTTGCCGCCGCCGCGGCCGCCGCCGAGCCGCAGCGTGACCGACGCGGCGAAGGACCTCTGCATCGCCACGGCCTCGGCGGAGGGCGGGAGGTGGCGCGCGTTGATGTACAGGCGGCGCGGCCGCGACGACGAGCCGCAGCCCGCCTGCCCACAGCCAAGAGGTGAGGAGGCGCGACGCCCCACGCACGCCCTAACCGGGCCGAGCCGCGGCCCGCCTCCTCCGCCGCGGCGGCCAGCGCCTCGACGCCGTCGAGGGAGAGGCCCGGGTTGCAGTCCGAGACGTGCAGCTCGCGCAGGGGCGAGGCGCGGATCAGCTCGCTCAGCGGGCTCGCCGCCTCGTCGGAGAGGCTTGTGTGGTGAACCCACAGCTCGCCTGCGGGCAGATGCGGGGAGATGTGGGGGGAGGTGTGGGGAGGCGTGCGGAGACGTGCGCCAACAGCTCGCCGAGGAGCGCCGCGATCGCGGGGCGGCCGACGAGGCGCCGCACGAGAGCCGCCATCTCGCCGTCGCCCCACGCAGCGCCGCCCGGGCCAGAGAGGTTGAGAGTGAGGGGCGGCGGCGCGGCGGCGGCGTTGGCGGCGGCGGCGTTGGCGGTGGCGGCGGCGTTGGCGTTGGCGGTGGCGGCGGTGGCGGCCTTCTCCAGCGCATCCATCACGCCCTCCACGTCCGCGACGCCGTCGGAGCGGCGCGGGCGGCGGCCGGCGCGCAAGTCGAGGACGCCGGGGGCCTACGTGGCGAAGGCGCCAGCCTCCGGGCGTGGAACACGGTGTGGTGCAGAGTACTCGGAGCACCGCGTGAGTACGAGGCGGGTCGAGTGCAGTGAGGGCCGCGGAACGCGGTCGAATACGGCGGAGGGCGTCTCCTCTCGAGCGTCGGCTGGAGGACGAGAGTGCGTCCGCTTCCGCGTCTAGGGCGAGGGGCCATCTGGCCGAGCAGCGCGTCGAGGGGGAGGAGGGCGGCGCGCCTGTTTTTTTTTGGCGAGAGGACAGGCGGCGTGAGGGGGGGAGAGGCAGTACCTCGGGTCTAGGGAGGGGAGGGCGGGCGAGACCCTTCTGCGGCGATGGCGTCGCGATACCGCCTCGAGACTGCGCCCGCGCCGGCGATGACGTACGCGCGCCGCAGCTCGGGCCGCTGCAGCACCGCGCGGAGTGCGGGCAGGAAGTCGGCGTCGCCTGGCGCGGCAGCCGGCCGCGCGTCGGCACTTTTCGCAAGCGCTCCGCCTCCGCGCGCGCGCGCGCGCGCGCGCTCTTGTGTTTGGGGGGGTGAGGGGGGGGGAGGGGGGGGAAAGGGGGGGTGGGGGGGGCCCCGGCAAAAAGGGGAAAACCCTTTTCCCACCGGAGGGGAAGAAGGCCCCCCCCCCTTAACCAAATCCGATTCGATTCGGTGAGAGATGAGGTCAAGTTTTACCGGCAGAAGGGGCCCGCGGCCTCGAACATGGCGCAGGCGACGTCGACGTCCGTGGCGCCCTGCGTGCGCGACACCGCCTTGGAGGGGGAGAGGGCGAGCCGGTACCTGTCCACGGCGGCCTCCCGTCTCCCGTGTGCGCCGCCCGGGAGGGCGAGAGGGCGAGCCGGCGCCCAGCCGCGGCCAGCCTGCCGTGCAGCCTCGCCTTGCCGGGCCCGTGCTTGCCGTCCGCGTCGGGCTCCGAGTCGCAGGCGATGCGGCAGGCGACGGAGCCGCCCGTGCGAGCCTCGAGGGCCGCCTGTCAGGAGAGGGCGGCGGAGCCCGGACCAGCCGGCATCAGCCGAGGTCAGCCGAGGTCAGCCGAGATCAGCCGAGATCAGCCGGGATCAGCCGAGGTCAGCCGAGATCAGCGTAGACCAGCCGAGGTTCAGCCGGGGTTCGGCCGAGATCAGCCGAGATCAGCCTGGACCAGGCGAGTCGGCCCGAGACGGCGCGTGGGTAGATGCTCGCCTCGAGCTCGCGCGGATCCCAGTCGGTCTGCAGCGAAAAGGCGGAGCCGGCGAGCTGCAGGTAGTGCAGGTCGAGGACGAGGCCGATCCGAAGGCCGACGCACTCGCCCTCGCCCTCGCCCTCGCCCTCGCCGCCAAAGCACTCGTCGCCGCCGCCGCCCTCCTCGCCGCAGCCCTCCACGCCGCCCGCTCCGATGCCCTCCACGCCGCCCTCCACGAGGCCGTCGCCTTCGCCGTCGGCCGATGGCACGTCGCGCAGCACGTCGCTCATGTCAAACGCGCCAGCCTCATCGCCCTCTCCCACCGCCGCCGAGTCGTGTCCACCGGACGTGTCCTGCGCCAGCGCCAGGAGCGCCTCCATCTCCGCCATCAGCCCGCCGACCTCGCCGCCGCCGCCGCCGACCTCGCCGTGCTGCTGGAGGTGGGCGCGCCGCGCCTTGCGGTTGGGTGCCTTTGGTGGAGGAGTACGTAGCCGCGGCCGAAGCTCCTGAATGAGACCACCGACGCCGCGGGAGCCGCGGGCGATGCTGTCGGTGATCTCGTCGACGGCCGACTCCGTCAGCGCGCCCTCGCTGAGAGCCTGCGCCAGAAGAGCGTCGAGCTCCTCCTCCTGGCGTGCGGGCAGCATCGGCGCGCGCGTCCGGCAGGCTGCCCCCAAGGCCCCTGGGCGGCTGCGGGTTTGAGAGTTACGCGTAGCCAGCAGGCACAGCTTCGGCCTGCACGGGTGCCAACCCAAGACGGCGATGATGTCTTTTTTGATCAGTACGCCGTAGTACAGGCCTAGGTATATTGTTGGCAAATCAAGACACAGAGCTCACACAGAATCACAGCGGGAGGAAAGCGGCGAGTCGCAATTCCAGGGGTCGTTGTGGCGGGCCACCCTGTCCAGAGAGGCATGGATGCCGATCTGGGGTCTCTCGACCGAGTCTATGAGCCCTGGCCGCCTCCCGATCTTGGTGGTAAGGCCGCAGCCGAACAGGGCGACGGAGATGGCGCGGGAGAGTACGGGTGTTCCAGGGGATCACGACACGCACCGACCCTTCACGAACCGAAAGGCTGCACCCGGGGGAGGCACAGTAATCCGGGCACGTGTTGGGCGCCCCATTCCGTTTAGCTTTAGGGCTAGGTCGGCTCAGGGCCCCGTCCACTTCCCTCCCACTTGGCGCGTGATGATGAGGAGATGCCACCCAGGCCAGCCAGGGCAAGGGCGGAGGGCGAGAGCGGAGAGCGGAGGGCTGGGCGGAGGCAAGGGCGGGCGGAGGGCGAGGATTTTTTTTTTGTTTCGTTGGCCGAAGCCTCGTTGGCCGAAGCCTCGGTGGCCGAAGCCTCAGTGGCCGAAGCCTTAAAGGACGGGTCGGGCCGCGGGGAAGGGAGGGCGGAGGGTGAGGGGAGAAGGGGCGCGGGCAGCGGGGGGGGGGGCAGAGCGCGAGTGCCAGTGCGAGTGCGAGTGCGAGTGCAAGTGCGAGTGCGGGGGCGGGGGTGGGGGGGCGGGGGGGCGGGGGCCGGGGGGGGGTGGGGGAGTGGAGCAGTAATAATATCGTTGGCCGAAGCCTCGTTGGCCGAAGCCTCGGTGGCCGAAGCCTCGGTGGCCGAAGCCTTATCCGGCTTATTATTAATTGTACAGTGAAGCCTCACATCACAGTGCACGGGCCGCTAAATGTTGATGTGTGTGGGGATTGGGTGGTTGTTGGGTGAGGGGCGCAAGGGAGGGCAGGGGCAAAAGTGGGGCATGAGGAGGAGATGGTAGGGGATGGTTCGTGCTCGCAAGGAGGGGGGGGGGGTTATTTGGTGAGGTGGTGGCAGCCAAACTGCTGGATCGTGTCTGCACGGCGGAGGTTGGCGGCATATTCCATGGCAGGAGTGTGGGAAGGGGGTCGGGTATCATAGTAAATTGTGCCATCAGGGAGGGCGATCGTGGGGATTGTGGTTCCACTGGCGCTGTTGTGGATGGATTGGTGGCGTTTGGCGGGGTGAGAAATGGAAAAGGCTGTCTGGTCGCGACTCACCTGGCGTAAGCTCGAAGTCCTCTGGAGTTAATTGGTTAAGACGCATTTGGTGCGTGTCTTCTGTAAAGAGGCTTCTAAAGCCTGGCGTTGTAAGAGGAATCTAACGCGCTTCGCTTGAACTGAATTGCGGTGTCGCACGAAGTCCAGGCAGTGGTCGAGGAGCAAGTTTGTAGCAAGCGGGGTCGCAACCACGAGCACGGAACCGTCTGTTGCAATCAGAGAAGCGACCTTGACACCTGAGTGGAATGCCGCGATGCCGTGCGTAACCAACAGCGGGTCGTTGTTGACGAGTGGCGTGAGTACCATCAATGTTGGCACCATGGCAAAGGCGCAACTCTGAGGTGATTTCACGAGCATGCGCACCCATTTGACGCAGAGGTATCCGACAGCCGAGCCGGCTTCGTAGCCGCTGAGAAATGCAGAGTTGCCGCCGAGGGAGACCAAGCCCGGTGGCAATCCGAAGCATCGTGATCGAACGGTGCAGAGCCACTCAAAGTACTCTGTGCGCTCATCAAGAAGCAGGTATCTATGGCTAGCCCAAGACGAAGCTGAGTAGTAGTATCGGGTAGCGTTTGAAATCAGCTGAACTTGATTTCCTTCCAGCGCCCAATGCCGCACCGAAAGGTGCGTTTCGACAAGCCGCAATGGGGCAACATGACCTGGTTTGAGCTCCCAATTTCGCAGCGAAAGGTGTGCATCGAGATTCAGCAACGGGGCAAGCCCTTCAGGCCAACGCCAATCGCAATCGTTTCGCAGTTGGGGCGAAGTTCGGTCTTCCTCTTCGTCATCGATCGGCGGCGAGAGGCGGCGAGTGGTGACGCGAATTTCAACCGAAATCGCGCCACCCTTTGTGCACTTTGAGCAAGAGTCACTCCTCGTCTCTCGCAATGTTGTTGTGACGGTTGAATTTTTGCCGATTTCTGTAAGCGTCCATTTTTGAATAGGTTTGGAAACCACCGAGGGGTACGATTCCACATAATTCATCCGACGGAAACGTGGCGATGGCACCTGATTCGGGGCGCAGGGGGGGGGTGAGGATT